TTAATTATTAAGCTAAGGTTATGTTTGTTTGGGAAAACTAATTACGGAATTAATTTTTCTGAATTCTGTGTTTGTTTCACGTAAAATATTTTTCGAAAATATTTTTCAATGTTTGGTTGGAAAAAAACTGGGTTAATCAATGAAACATTTTCATAGTCGACAGAATTCCTTTGTGTTTTTTGGAAAATGATTTACGATATGATTTTTACGTAGTCATTTTCCGAATTTTTTTCACTTCAAAATAATAAATACTCAAAATATTTATTTTATGATTTATATTATAAAATATTATAATATCATTTTAAATCAAATATTAATTATTAAAATTTAAATATATTTATTAATATTTCTAATAATAATATAATATTTTAAAATTATAATAAATCGTTTTATAATAATATATTATATTTTTTATTTTTAATAATATATAGATTATTAATATTATATTATTTATTATTTCATAGAAATACTATTAATTATATTAATTATCATTTATTAATATTAATCTAATAATCTAATATTTTAATAAATATATTAAAATATACTAATTAATATTTTTAAAATATAATAACACTATTACTTTATAAATAATTAATATAATTTATATATTTTTATTTCAATAAAATATATCAATATTAATATTTTTATTAATAAAATTATAAAAAATTATTTAATAATAAATTATTTTTCTTTTTGAAAATAATATTAAGTTTTATGTAAATAATATTTTTATTGTCAATATTTGTAAAAATATTTTTTTAAACTCATCATAGTGGAAAAAAATTTAAAACGTTTTTTAGAAAATGTTTTTCAGAAAAATATAATTCATTTTACGGAAAACATTTTCCGGAAAACGTTTTTCAGAAATGTAATTCATATTCTAGAATTCAATTTCCAGAAAATTAATAACAGCCAAACAAATAGGCCTTAAGTCTCGGGGATATTTAATATGTTGCCCAATTATGCTTCTACCTGTAGCGTATTTAAAAATTTCAAATTGGAGGTCTAAAAATTTTAATGCTCATTTTTTCAATTAAACGGATGTGCAAAATTTTTAATTTTTTCTTATTTCATTTACATATTTGTTTGGAAATGTTTCTCCAAACGAGTTTTTTAAATACAAAAATATTATTTATTCAACTTCTTAATTTAGGTCAATAATCACTTTTTAAATGTGAATTTTTTTATTAAAAAAATGTGTTTGATATTACTTTTGTGTTTCAAACAGATTTTTAAGCCAAAATAATTTCTATAAATATTCCTTAACGACCCCTTGATCACTTATCGAACTCGTAAGGGACCAAGTGCATCCGCTTCTAGCCATTGTACTTTTACAAATTTAAACTTTAATATTTGTACTTTTAATTTCAGTAACTTAGTTTCCCCTATTTCTTTAATATAAAAAATTAAATTTAATAGATAATGTTGTTCAATGATTTATGATTGTGAGCGTATATTAATATCTAGTTTGATGGTCCAATACATGAAGAGATCAATAAATTAATTAAATAAGCATAGTATGAATATGGACATGCAACATTAAATTCAACCTTTAGAAATAAAATAAATATTATAACGGCATATAAAATCATTTATTATTTTTATATAGAATAAAATAGGCTGATTGAATTAAAAATAATGTAGAGGTGGAAGGAAAAGAAAAAACAAATTGTGCATAATAATTTTTCACTACCAACATGCACATAAGAGACATGACATGATAGATAGGTGCGTATTATTGTAGATCAAAAGTAGTGGCCACCATTTTAATTATGAATCATAAGAAGATCTAACCGCTACATTAAGAATAACGTGTCTTCTTCTTCTTCACTGTGGATTATATACTTTTCTTTTTTTGAATTCTCTCTTTCTTCCACAGTAGGCCATAACCTGTAGCCATTACTTCCCCCTCTTTTCCCATATATAATTATATAAATACGACCCCCATTCTCCCCTTCGTTTTAAAACACCACCATCACTTTCCTTCTTCCTCTTCCTTTTGAAACCGTACATGGCTGCTCTCTGCAGATTTCTCAACTTTCTCTTCTTTCTTCACTTCATCGTTTCTCAAGCAAAACCAACGCAAAAGGAAAACGACACCGTTTCCCTCTCTTTCCCTCTGACTTCCCTCCGTTTCTCTGCTGATGTGAAGTTTCAGTCTTTAGTTTCAGTGTCCAAGCATGCTTCGATGAGAAGGCCGACGTCGTATAATTACAAGACGACGTTCAAGTATTCGATGGTTTTGATCGTGGCTTTGCCGATTGGCACTCCGCCGCAGACTCAGGAGATGGTGTTGGACACCGGAAGCCAACTCTCGTGGATTCAGTGTCACAAGAAGGCTCCCAAAAAGCCGCCACCCGCGGCGTCGTTTGATCCTTCTCTCTCTTCTTCTTTCTCGGTGTTGCCGTGTAATCATCCTCTCTGTAAGCCTCGGGTTCCGGATTTTACCCTCCCGACGTCGTGCGACCAGAACCGTCTGTGCCACTATTCTTACTTCTACGCCGACGGAACACTCGCCGAGGGCAACTTGGTCAGAGAAAAGTTCACCTTTTCACGTTCCCAGAGTACCCCTCCTTTGATCCTCGGTTGCGCCACCGATACCAGTGAGGACAAGGGAATTTTGGGGATGAACCTCGGGAGGTTCTCCTTCGCTTCCCAGACCAAAATCTCAAAATTCTCCTACTGTGTCCCGACTCGTCGGACCCAACCCGGAGTTTCACCGACCGGGTCATTTTATCTGGGCCAAAACCCGAATTCCCACGGGTTTCAGTATATTAACCTTCTGGTTTTTCCTCATAGCCGAACCATGCCGAATATGGATCCTTCGGCTTACACACTCCCAATGCAAGGGATAAGAATCGGAGCCAAGAAGCTAGCAATCCCCGTTCATTTTTTCCGACCCGACACCGGTGGGTCGGGTCAAACCATGATCGACTCAGGCTCCGAGTTCACTTACTTGGTGGACGAGGCCTACAACAATGTGAGAGAAGAAGTGGTACGACTGGTAGGTCCGAGGCTTAAAAAGGGTTACGTGTACGGTGAAGTGGCCGACATGTGTTTCGACGGCAACCCAATCGAGATCGGACGGTTGATAGGCGATATGTCGTTCTTGTTCGAGAAAGGGGTGGAGATCGCGGTGGATAAACATCGGATTCTAGCCGACGTCGGTGGCGGGGTCCACTGCTTGGGGATCGGACGATCGAATGTGCTAGGAGTCGCGAGCAACATAATCGGGAACTTCCATCAACAAAATCTATGGGTGGAATTCGATCTGGCGAACAGGAGAGTGGGATTCGGTAAGGCTGATTGTAGCGGAGCCGTATGAAGAGGAGAGAGGGCCCCATCTGTACGAGATGATCGGGAAAAGGAAATATCTAATCGGACGGTGTAGATGAAAAGGTGAAAAAGAGAAGTGTCATGTGAAGAACATGGGTTTTGTTTGGGAGAATTATCGAACAGCTGTTTGAGTTTATAGCAATCGCATGTACTTCATCTTCCGGTTGCAGTTGGAGCGTTGTCTGATACTGGTAGTGGATGTTTGAATGGGGCACACTGTCGAAAGAGACTTAAGTTATATTTGTATATACGAGGACATAAAATTAATTACGTTATAAAAATATAAATCATGAATATTATTATCGATATCAAGTTATTTAAGTACTTTAATAATTTATTTTTTAATAAATTATACTAAGACTGTACGTATAGATTGATTAATTCAAAACAAGTATTATAAACTTATTATTGGGATAACCTCCTCAATCCAATTATTCCATCTATAACATTTATGATTTGAACTTTATTTAAAAGTCCTAATATTTCATCTCAATTGACCAATTAATGGTTGGTTCTTTAATAATTATATTTGATAAATGATATGTAAGTTTAACTTTAAAATTTATTTATCATTTTATTTGATAAACGAAACGTGAGTCACCTTTAAATTTTAAATTTTATCGATGAAATATATGTTATCATTTATGAGATCAATCTCATATAGAGATAGGCATAAGACTCAGATCTTACATTTTTGAGTTTAATCTAATTTCATAGGATTGAGTTTCTTTTTAATTGATTTAGGATTAAGTTAGCCATTTTTTAAAGAATAAAATCGAACTGAGTCGAAATTCAATTAAATTCCTATATTACTTGATAAAAATGTATGTAATCTAATTGGATTTTAAAACGGAGTAGAATCTCTTTAAATCTGAATCATATCGAGTGATATGATAGTGAAATTCAAACGGATTAAAACCTTAACCCAACCAATACTCTCTAATTGCAAGTTATGATCTTGACCTAGGTAAGAAGTAAGGTGAAAAGATCACAAGGAAAATGATTGATTGAATAAACACAAGAGCGATAACAATACAATACAATATAATACAATTAAATAAGGGTAGATGGATCATAACAAAACAAAGGCTTTGCGTTTGGTTTGGATCGACTGTGTTGATCACGAAATTCAACTACTATCAATTAATTAATTTTCAACTTTTATTTTAGATTACCTAAGAGTTGGGGTCGGGGGTTTAGTTGGATGCATGCCAAGTGGACGACAGCTTAATTAACTCTTTCGTATACTCTCTTATTCCCGACATTCACAGGATTAGTTAATGCTAAACGTATCAATAAACATATTTACCTTAAAGAAATAATATCTTTAAAAGATGGGTCTATATATAAAAAGGAAAAGAAGAAAGGAAGGTGAGACATGATTGAGTGTAGAAGCTAAGAAAGAAGGAATTACGAAGGCAACACAGCTGTGAAAGTGATAAAGTCTCACTTTTTCCCTAATTTTCTCGAGAAACTAACACGCACGCCCACTTTCTATTCAGCCTTCTTAAAAGGAAAATCAGAGGGGAAAATGATTGCTTCGGGGTGAAAATGGAAACAATCACCGTCATTGTTGACGAAAAAGGGCAGCAAGATAAAAACAAAACGACACGTACAGACAAACCAACAATACGCAATTTGCTATTTCATTGCTAATTTAATTATTATTTTTATATTGTTATTTTAGAGAAAATCTCTTGAGATGAAGTTGATACTTGCTATATTTAACAGTAATATAATCATTCCAAGGTCAATGTAGGATCATTTCTCATTCAATGGCCATTACTATTTTCTTTGTTAAATCAAATATATGGATGGGAGTCTTAAAATTTAAAATTATCTTATATTTTAAGTTTTTATGTATTTTTTATTAAAAAATTATTTTTATTCCCTTGTAGAACTTTATAAGTTAAAGATGAAATTTTAAAAATTCAAGTTTGTCACTTAACGTAAATTTCTACATCCATTCTTAATCAAGTAGGTAATTTATTTTAACAGATAAGTTCGTATAAAGTAATTTTATTCATAATTTAATAAGATTATTTATCCATCAACAATATTATACATTTAAATAAAATTTTATAGAAATTTATCGAGTGATTTATATAATAAAAAAGGGTGTTGTTATTTTTTAAAATTTTAAATTCGAACAATTATGTCTACAAAATATATGTACACCAATAAAAAATTCTAAAAAGACATTACTATTTAATTACCCTAATTTGTCCTTTTCTTTTTTGCTCGCATCTTTCTATCTTCATCTCCTTCGTTTTTCTTGTATAAAATTTTCGGCTCTCTTTCTTCGTCGTCCCATCTCCCTTTCTTCGATTCTCAAACATCTCTCCTTTTTAGGTTTTTTATGCTTAATTCAGTGGATGTTGCTTTGATTAAAAAAAAGTAACATTTATAAATAAAAAGAAAAAAAATCAAACCAAATCATATAAGCCTATGTATTTTTTTTATAGAAGCTAATATTCTTTTAAATTGGTGAGAAAGGAAAATGTGAGGTTTAAGCCGCGTTGTACGTATAAAAGGAAAAGGAGGAGGAGAAAACACAAGCACTTGTTTATAAAACAAAGCATCATTGCAATTATAAGCCTTGAGAAATTAAATATAATCGTTTTCTTTATAAAAAAAAGAAGAAAAAGGAAGGCATTAGATTAAGTTGTAGGTCAGGGAAAGCAGCCATTGGGACGGAATATATGATGGCAGAAGGCAGAAGGAACCCACAGAAACTTTGGGGGTTTATCTAATACTAAATTGCTAACTAATCATCACAATGTCTTTTGCTTGACTCACTGCCTTTGCTTTATGCTTATCCTCCTAAGCCATTCATGAGCTAATTAGTGGCTTTGGATGTTTAAGTACGGTTGAAGAACTTGGTGATAGAGTTTGGAGACCAATTTAAAATTTTAAAAACTTTAGAGGTTAAAATTAAATATTTCAAAAGGATTGAATGATTCAATATATATATATATATATATTAAAAATGGGGTCTAACTAAAATTTTTGAAATTTTGAGAGGCTTATTGAGAATTTTTAAAAAATATTGGGGGGATTTAATTAAGAACATTCAAAAATTAAAAGCTTAATCTGAATTCCTAAAATTTTGTAGGGCCAAATTAAATTTTTAAAAAGTTTTAAGAGTCAAAATTATAATTTTTCAAATTTTGAGGGAGCCATGACCCCCACTAGTTTATTCCATATAATATAAGTATATAATTAACTAGAGTGACTACCATGATCTCTTATGGACCAACTTTGTACCATTAATTAATGAACTATGTACCAAAGGAAAATTGGAACAAAGAATGAAATTAATGAAATATGAGTTTTATATTATCTACTCTGTAAAAGGTTTAGGATTTAGGGTTACATATTTTAAAATTTATGATTAAATTTTAAGAGATGATAATTTGAACAATGCTATACGATATGTTATAACGCCTCCATCCAACTTTCGGAATATTTTAGCGTTAGAGTTTCTTTTGGTGCTTGATCAATATTTCGGTTCGAGTTATTTTCGGCCTTTTGTTCGATCCTTGGATTTGGTTGGTTATCTTACTAAAATTTGGGCTTCAAATGTTTTGGGTTTGAGTTTGATATGGGTTAGAGTCCTACACTTTTTTTTTGGGTTTCTTAGGCTATATAATCCATTCCTTCTTTAATGAAAGTTTCAAACTATATAAAGAAAGGGTAAATTATGTGTTAGTACTTAAACTATTAGTTTTGATCTATTTTAATACTTAAATTTTTTAATTTTTCAAAACCATACATAAAGTTTAATTTTTATTTCATTTTAGTACCCCATTAAAATTTTGCTTTAATTTGAAAAAAATGAAACTTTAGGTCTAAAATTGATTAAAACTGGTAGTTTAGGTACTAAACGTGTTACGTTTTTAACGGCAAGGTACTAAAATGAAATAAAAACTAAACGTTAGGTATGGTCTTGAAAAAAATTAGAAGTTTAGGTACTAAAACGGACCAAAACTGATAGTTTAAGTACTAAATACATAGTTTACCCATAAAGAAAAATTACAGCCATTAACTATTAGTAAGATTACATTTTCGTCATTCAATTCTAAAAAAAATATGCTTTCATCACTAGATTAATCATTTTCTATCATTTTACGTAGTGAGTTTGAAAATGAGAAGATTTAGAAGTTATTTTTAGTTTTGAATTTTACTTGGTTTTAAGGAAAATAAGATGAGAAAATTGAAGATTTGATCCAAGGAATTTGTCGATAATGTAAATATTGTGGGCTACATTTCTTACTATTTAAAGGTCATTTTATCCTCCCATTAGAAGTATGAATCAACCATTCGTGTAGACTACCTTTAAAATGTTATTAAGTATAATCATGTTGATTAGTTCGGCCATGGAATTTGTCGTTGAAGTCTATATTCGTCCGTTTAACGGTCTAAGTAAAGATTAATCTCGTTGAATCGGGTATGACTATAAAATGACAAAGTTCTTTGTTCAAGTAATCATAGATAGAAGAGACAAGAACAGAAAGGAAGTTTTGAGTTTCTGATGCCAAAAAGTAAACTTCAATCCGTCTTTATTCGACACTACACGATGAACCCTAGGCGAAGGATTTTCTGGCTACATATATCACGATGTTTAAACAGACAAAACACAGGCAACGACAAAAAGAGAAGTGACAAATGTGACATAAAACGGAACATCCTACGTTGATATTGTACATTGATCATGCATGCATGCACGTAGTCCATCAATCCCATTGGCGTTCACTGTCAATTAGGTTCAAACAGTGATTCATTTGATGGGGTTCCAAGCGTGAGCATGCTGGAAATAGTAGAGCTCATTCTCGGAGATGCAGCTCCAGCATTTCGAGCTCACCGACCGGAAACTCGGCTCTCTCGGAATCGTTAAAGGCCGGTTCGATCTGCATTTCCAAATTATTATTTACTATACATTTCATGCATCATCTTATTATTATGCTTTGCTATTTATACCTCTGAGGGAAGAAGGGCCTGTCGAAAAAAGGCATGAGCTGAGCTTTTGGAACCATCTCCTTCCTTAGCGAACGGATCTCTTCGTCTTCAATCATCTATCACACCACTCGTTAATGTCATTAGTGTATTTAATCAATCAATTAATTTTTCATTATAAATTAATATCACATTTTAAATAAGTAAGAGACATTAAAATCCCATATCAGAAAAAAATAAAACTTTGACATTAAAAAACGATGACGCCCCACATTCTATTACCTTATGCAGTTTCACTACTTGTCTCTTCTGTATCTTCGATAGATAGAATTTGGTGGCCACCTGATTAATTGAACATACGATAAATTATAAACCGTTAATATTAACTCGGGAAAATCCGATCCGAGTCAAATTACATACGGAATAATTGAACATGGCACGCTTAACAGCTCTTTGTCCAGTGTGAAGCTTGAGTTCTTGTGGCCTTGTATTTTCCTTGGCTGGAGGCTTTGGTGTAACCTATTCATACAATTTTACCTTATTTTATTTCTAAACCCCAAGACCAGTGTAACGAAACAAACTATGTACCGACTTAGAATTTAACTTAAACGAAAACGAACGAGAAAGAAGACAAAACGAAATAAGAGAAATCGGGGTATCGAAAGACATGAAACGGTGGGGATGACCTTGAATGCGGATTTGGGGTTTGATCTCTCCATGTTGGCTTTAGCTTCCATGAACCAAATATGCATCCAAGTGAAGAGCAGAAGTGGAATTTAAACTCATGCTGGGAAAGAAGAAGGAATCAATGTTTGGAGATTTGTAACCATCTTTCGGTGCTTTATCTGTTAAAATGACCATCCAGCTCAGTTGGTAGAGCTCTTAACCTTGAGGTCGTGGGATCAAGTCTCATGGAGGGCATTTCATAATTCGGAGGTCTCCTACGGAAACTGTTCTCAACCTAGTGTGGGGACGCAGTCTACTATCTTACCTTCCCCTTACCCCATTACATATGAGAACAAGGGACAACTATAATTTCGGTGCTTTATCTGTTGCAACATCAGCAGCGCGCATTTTCCAATGGGAAATCAAATTCTCTTCCACCAAACTTTCTGATTAAATCTCCCTCTCATCCACACACATTTGATTGCCATTCTCCACTAAACTCCTTTCCCCTTCTCCCTACTAACTGATAAAATCTCTGACTTCAAATCAGATCTTGATTATGTCTTTAATTAAGTCATTAATTTAAGTGCTTAACCCCACTAACTGTCACCTTAAACTATCACTTCAGTTAGTTGCTTGGTGATTTAGAAATGATTACAGCACTTTAATTAGGTCATTAACCCCTACATACTAGCGATTATTTGAGAAATGTGTGTTGTTTACTTTTCTTTTTTGAGAAGAAAAACGAGAGCATATGGTCCAACGTTATCCAGCCATTTGAAAAAAAAAGGGTTCCAAGGTCACATGTGGTCGAGTATAACTTTAGTTTACTAATGAGTAATGCCAATAAGTAATCATAGTTTTCGAGATTCGAATTTCAAACTTTTTGAATATTATCTTTTTTAGAAGATTTTTTTTTACATAAACATGTTCGATACGTAAAAAGTGTGGTCGTCGACTGCCGATAGGAGTTGTGATTTCGATGAAAGTATTCGATATTAGAAGGGTTAAGATTAAATTAAAATTATTGAGATAAAAGAATAACTAAATCAAGAGGTCAAGGCTCTGCCTGTCTGTGGTACTATCGTTAAATGTTTAATTTAATTTCGTGTCTAATACCAATCGAAGAGGATGACAATAGAAGGAACTCAGTGAGTCAAGCAACTCGATCGGCTCTCTAGTTCAGGTATCAATCAGACAATAGTGATGTTTTCTGGTTCTGGTCACGTCCTTACATAACAATAACAAACTGAGTTTTGATATAAAAGGGAAAACAAAAAGGCTAAAAAGGGGCAGATCGAACAGAAGGTTGTTAGGACGACAGTTTTCAAGCATTTGTAATTATATAACCTGCAGTGGCAGTAACATGTACTTAGGTAGGCGGATGGAAGTGGTTGTCCCGTCTAAAAATATAAAATTATCATATATTTATATTATATATATATATTTATTAAAAATTTATTTTCGTCCCTTATAATTTTATAAATTTAAGTTAATCCCTTTAAAATTTTATAAATTTAAATTCACCCTTAACTTAAAATCGTACGTAGGTCATGGTAATACATGAAAAAAAAGCACAAATTAATTAGCATAAGATGGATTCGGTCACATCACAACATCACAAGTTAAAACCAACGTCAAACAGTTTAGTTAGGCGCTGATTCGAAAATTAACCTAACTAAATTGCTTTTCTTTGCATTGAAGTTTCTCTAACACATTTCACTATCATTATTTTATTTAATTTGTCCACAAACATCACCTATTAATTATAGATTTTATCCCTTTGCAAACATAAATATATTGATAAAAAAAAGTAATTGTTCATGTCTCTTCGGTAAATGTTTGAAGTATTTTACTGGCGTTACGAATGAAAAAAAATTAAATTTAAAACATTTTTTTATAAAATTTAATATGAATTAACCGATTAATATATCAAATGCGAAAAATTATTTGCCTGCACAAATCCTTTTTTATTCACAACAATGGTGTTTACAAGTAGCTCCCCGAAGAAACTGCTCAACTTCTGGGAATTAGTTATGTCGGCTGCTTTGGAACCCATCACGAAAAAATGGATTTAATATTTTATTATTTTAATCAAGGGTAAATTACACTATTCTTCATTGTACTATTCTCTCTCTTTTATTTTACTCACCGTACTTTCAATTTTTCTAATTTACTCACTAAACTTTCGAACTGCTCCTGTTTTGATCATTCTGAATTATTTTGTTATTATTTTTTATGACGTGACATTTTATTATTATTATTTAATATAAAATAATTTAAAATATAAAATCAAAATAGAAGGTGGTCCGACACTACCGCCGGTCTCCGTTAACTGCCGTAGATGGTGATCGTTCATTTCCAATTTTCATGGGTGGCTTTGCCTCGACACCGTGAGTCCGAATCCAACATCCATTTTATGGAACTTGCTCCGAAATCCATGAATTGAAGATTTAAAGAGAGGAAGCCTAAACATTTCAGTCAAGATTCATAGCTTTTGGAACATTTTCTTATGAAACAACGACCATATTCAGACTAAGAGGGTTGAGACGAAACGATCCATGAAATTTGAGATCGAACGACCACCTTTTATGGCAATTTATGGTCGTTGGCGATGGCATCCGACCACCTTCTATTTTTATTTTATATTTTCGATTATTTTATGTGAAATAATAAAAAATGTGAGGTCATACCAAAATAATAATAAAATAATTTAGAGTGATCAAAACAAGAGTAATTTGAAAGTTTAGTGAGTAAATTAAAAATATTGAAAGTACAATGAGTAAAATAGGAGAGAAGTATAGTTCAGTGAGGAATCGTGTAATTTACCCTTTAATCAAATATGATACATATAATCTTCAAATTAACGGTTGGGATCGAATATGTTTTGATCTAATGGCTGAAATTCGTTGGAAAAACTAATATAATTCTCCCCTTAGCTGTTCGGTCAACCCCTTTCTTCAAATTCGTTTTCAAGAGGTATAGAAGGGGAGAGAGAGCCAGAGGTTTAGGTTTTCGAGCTCAACGATGGCGGCAGCTCATATTGATTTAGTAGACAGTAGACACAGCAGTAACCGACGAAACGTCGTGGAATTCCCTATTACGAAACACTCGTTGCTGCTTCTGTTCCCCTTGCTTCAGCTCCCGCCGTACTCCCTCCGTCGGCATAGCCTTTTGGCAGCGGATAAGTAGTACGTCGTCCCAGTTCCAGTCCGGTACCGGATTATTGACTCGAAGCGTTTCAGCGTTCCAAAAGGCCCGGGAATGGTCCGAGATCGTCGCCGCTCCCCGGTGGAAGACTTTTATAAGGAGATTCAACCGGAACAAAAGCGGTAGCAGCGGTAGGCACGGACGATTCCGTTACGATCCTTTGAGTTACGCTTTGAATTTCGATAAAGGTCAGATCGGGGATTCGGAAGACGCCAATTACGGGTACGGAGGGTTTCGGGCTTTCTCGGTCCGGTACGCTTCGGTTTCCCCCGGTTCGGTTGGCTTACCGGTCTCAAACCGACTGAATCATTGAGAGCGTGAACCGGACTTTCTCTATTGATGACGTTATTTTCCCGGCATATACGTTAGTTTTATTTATTTATAATAATGTTTTATATGATTGCACTATGAGTTGTGTGGGATTAAGATGAGTACAAGATTTGATTTTGTTTGCATTTTTTTCATCTTGTAAATATAGAAGGCATCATTAATAATAATTATAATAAATCTATTTGTCAAAAAATATGATAGATATATTATAATACATAAATAAATCAACTAATAATATGTAATCTGAATATACTTCAATTAAAATAACCCTAAAACGATCTAAATAAAATAATATTTTGATAAAAAGATTCGACGTTATATTTGCATCATCATTAGACTTGAATATATACTATTTTTGATGGAAGTGTCACGTAGTATAATCTTATTGGTTAAAAGCTTTTCTTTTTCTGAATACAATAGAATCAAAGGACAAATAATACTTTAAACAACACATAATATGGAATATTTGGTTTTAAATATGTTGTATTTATTGGGTATAGTCGTTTTTGTACTCGTCACTTAATACCACGTATTAGGATTTCAGCTGTTCATAATTTATTCTCTCCAAATTTATAAGGATATATACATAAATGTACACAGCAAAACAATTATACGGGTATCCGAACTGAAACCCGAAAGTCTATCCGAACCGAAACCATTCTCAAATATTGAATATCAAAACTTTGCAATTGTAACAAAATATGGCAATCAATTCGTATCATGTGAGACGCTTCATCATAGCATAATGCAGCAACACAAAAACCTTACGAGTCTTTCTTTCGTAGAAATCGAAATGGAAAAAGCACCTATAGTCCTCACATTTGGTTAATTTCCACGACGGCTGATTTGCTCCGTCAAAAGCACCGGCAAAGGGACGAGGGACCCGAATAGGAGATATGCCAACAGTCAATCCTCTGAAACAACATTTTCTACTCTCTCTTTTTCGGGTTATAATCGTTCAACTTGCTTGGAAGTCTAGGAAAAGATGCAATTTCTGCGACAGCAACTCACGAGTTCCGAACGGAGGTTTGCCACTACCGATCCAATCCTTCTCGAGAAGGCCTGCTTTGGCACTTGCCAGCATCTCAGGGTGGAAAGCTGACACGATGCAGTAAATTGAAGTCCTTAAAACATCAGCCATGGCGTATGCTTTTGCATATAGTGGGTCATCTCTCCTTTTTCCAGCTCTAACATCTCTTCTTCCGCCACTGAACACAGCCGATTTTGTCCCGAATGCTCCCATCAAATTATGAGACGGTTGCAAGCTTGTTTTTTTCCCCATCAACGTTTCAACAGCAAGCAAAGAAGCTATGAGCGTTGAGATTACAGCAGCATTGCTACCTGAGAGTTGAGCAACTCCGAATCTGTCTTCTTTTCGTGAGTGTGCAGTCAAGGAAGCAACTGCTCGAGCAGACCATGTGTATATCTGTAAAAAGGCAACACCAAATGATTATTAAATTTGGCTTGTTCGGTTACAATACAAATTAATCGATCTAGATTGCTCAAATCCCCCAGAGAAAAGCTGAAAAAGAACCTCGGATGAGCACAATTAGCCTCAAAAAGCAATGCTCCACAGCCTTCAATGTTCTTGATATGTAATAAAGTTATATATACACTTAGCAAGCAACCACACGAAACAAGAACACCAAGCGAACCCACAACAAAAGCATTTAAGCAAATAAACCTACAAAGCAAAGTCGTGTAGAAAAACATACCTAGTAACCCGGAGATGGAAGTGAGTGTTGGATACGAATATTTGTCCAACTCGAACATGTTAAAACATTTTTAAGTTTTCTATATGATTTGGAAGATCATACTTAGTTTAAATATCCAAATATGTATTGCACATAAGGTGAATGACTTGGAGATCAATTTATTATATCATATCACATAACATTATACAATTAATTTGCCCTTCCCTTTCCTTCTTTTCAGCCATCAAAGCTTTGTGTTACTCCTCTTTATAATCGTAAATGAACAAATTACATAAATAAACAAAACATTATGCAATTAACTTCAAGTTCATGTTTGGACTCTATCATTGCAGTGTAATGGTCCTACATGAAGAACATGTGGAATGAATGCATGCCCGATTCTATAAAATGGTGTCATACCTGGAAGTCGTTCATTAGTTCTGAGCATTTTGAATTCTGGCGGTCAGTTGACGACTGCAATTGGTCAGATATTGAGCATGTTCTATCATCTGAAGAACCTTCAAGACCTTGGACCAACTTTGATGCAAGTTGCTCCAAAGGTCTCAAGCATACAGCTGCAACTCTTTTGTAAGTCTCACCAGTTTCTTCGAAGAAGGCAGCTCGACGCCAGTAGTCAACATTGTTCTCACAAACCATACAAAGATCAAGGTATGCAAGATATTTCAGAAGGGAAGCTGGAGAGGTCTCCTCTAATGCAGCTAGGAGAGGCTCACTTGGATTAGTTTCTGCTGCTGCAGATCCTTTTGGTGGTGCAAATATGAACCTTTTTGTATGTAGCGCCTATAATAGAACATGAATATAAGTGAAAAGAAAAATTATATTAAAAAAAGCAGTAACTGTGAAACATTAACAAAGAAGAAGATATTGGTTTAGCATTTTGAGCACAGACAAGAAAGTGGAAACACCATGCCAAAAGCCCTAGCAGACGAGATTCGGTAAACTACAAATAGTTGAGAGCAAAACAGCTATGGTGATTTAATCCTCTTCCGAATACGACAACTATATCACGATTTCTTCATTCACAAAGAAGCTCTATAGGTCAAAGAGAATATGTCTAGGCATTAGAAAGGTGATTTACTTGGCCTAAAAGTGTAAAAAATAACAGTAATTTGAACTTTAATCACACAATGTGTACGAAATGATAATAATTTTGACTTGTTTCGAACCAACCTGATGCAAATGGTGAGTCAACTCCCAACAAAGAAACATACAAAAGCCGGCAGCATAAGCGACTATATGTAGAGCAAAAAAGTTCCCGAGCTCGAGATCGATGCTAAAATCGTGTGGCAGAAATGCCAACAGCAGAGCTGAAAATAGATAAGCTGCAGCAGAAAGCTTTAATGCTCTAACAATGGCAGAATGGATCCCCATCTTGAAGCTAAAGAAAAGGGGTCGCTGTCGACATAGAGCAAAAAAGAAAAAAACCGAAGTCATAAAGCAGATTTAAATAAACAATTTAGAACAAAAAACACTAGCAACATCAATTCACCTGAATAATGGGGAACTGCAATACCCATCGCCTCTTATAAATATAAAAAACGGCAAAGATCAACCCCAAAGAAAAACCCTTAAACCCCACTCTTCCATTGACCCCACAAAGGGACACTGCCGAGAGAGAACCCGAAACAGCCGCCACGGCCAGCAGCGCCAGCAGAACGCGTCTAAATTTAGGCTGGGGAGATAAGACGGTAGAGAGGGACACAGAGAAGAGCAGCTGGGAGAGATGAAAACTGAAAAAGGAGATGAAGATTGCAGTGAGGGAGCGCCAGTACACGAGCGTCATCGTGAAAGCTAAGTAAATCAAACTACTTAGAATCGACTGCCATAGTAGGAACCCTACTAATCGATTCTTCATCACCGTGTCCGGCTCCGCCGCTGTCCATGAACGCATATTGGTTTTCCCCCTTTACAGGATTCAAACTTTCTCAAACTACTGCCACAAAATAGACGTTTAGGTCAAATTTCAGCTAGAAGAAAAAGCAACCATCAAAGAGAAACAAAGTAACAAAATTTAAAGCAAACGTTTAGTTGCAATACTGAGATGGTAGAATCAAAAGATATTAAGAAATAAAACAATAAAGCCCAAAAGTTCACAAAATAGAAAAGACAGAGAAAATATAAAGAAATCAACAAGAGTCATTACCCACCCAATGTACAGTTGAGCTGCAGAGTGGAAGAGGGCCAGAGCTGGCGACAATGTGAGATTAAGTGAGGAAGAGAGGCGTGGCGCGTAAGGGTATACGGTGTAAGCCACAAGCTGAAGGAGACCAAGAGAAAATACTAGAGGCGGAGGCTCATTTTAGTAATGTGTATAGGGTATGAAAATTTCAATTGAATATATTTTAATTTTTTTATTATATTTATATTTTATGTTTGATTGGATTGAGTTTTATAGGGTACTGTGTATCTTAATATAGGTTTTGGTATGGATACAGACACGGACTTAAGTTCGAAAATTGTTGAGTTTAATTTAATTCGAAAATTTTAAAATGAAGTTTAACTTGATTTAAAAATTTGTAAGTCTAAAATTTTTAAATTCGACTCAAACTCAAAATCATGAATTGAATTTAGTAAAAGCTCGAAATAAAAAAATCTTAAATTTAACTCGATTGAAGCATCAAACTCAAATACAAACTTGAACCATGGAAAACCTTAATCAACACATAAATATAATATTATTAATAATTTATTTTTAAAAAATATAAAATCTTAATATATTATATTTTCGAGTTCCTCACAAATTTTTCGAGTTGAATATCAAATATCTCGTTTCAACTCGTTAAAAACTCAAGTCAAATCTATTTGAGTCGAGTATTTATCAATTTTTAACGATATTGAGTAACTCGCAACTTATCTGTCTCAGTAACAACACTAGACTCAAGTGTTTAAATATAGGAGTTTTTAAAATATATATATATATATATATATATATATATATATATATATATATATTCACTGAAAGTAATATATTGTTATAAAATAATAAGCTAGAAGCTAAATTTGAATTATTTAACTATTCAACCATTAATATAACATCTCTAATAATCCATACCAAATCCCACGACGTTTCTCTCCTGTTAAACGCATCGACATTATCAATAATAAATAGATCTTTAAATGATAAAATCTAAATATACGGTGAAAGTAAATAAATATATAATAAAATTAGTAAATAATGTAAGATAAAAAAAATGAAGTGAACCAAAGTTCTATGGCATCAGACCAATGGTTTTATTTTCCGACATAAAATGGACCCTCCATTGCAAGACCAAACATTCAACCTTTATAAGTCTTCGGGGCCATTGATTTCCTAGCCATAAAAGAAATTACACACGATTAGCAAAATACAAAATCAAATCCCGGTAATGGCAAAATAAGGAAAAGATCGAATCTCATCCATCCTCTTTCCGCTGTGTTTACCTTGTTTGCCAGCACGGCTCCATCCGTAATCTCCAACTTTACTCCCTCTTTTGCAACAATTTTCACTTTCCCCTGTGCAGAGATAGGCGCATGATATGATATAATGTTAGGGAGATGAATTTAAATTATATAAAAATTTGAAATTTTCGAAAGAGACGATCGTTCTGTCCGTTCCCTTCTATCCATCCCTGATTGTACGATGAATGACCAACCGGAGGGTGAAAAAAATACCTTGAGAACAATATTAGCACCAAACCACACATCACCACTCACGCTGAGGCTGTCGAGATCAATGATGCTTGGGATTGACTTGAACCGGCTTAAGAAGTTGCTAACCTGTTGAGCAAATTAAAAAATATCAGCGTGGAAACAGCAGCTTTGATATGGAACTATGGAAGTGCAAGATCAACACGGCTGGTACTTACCTTCTTGAATTCAGGCCCCAATTCGATGGATGGGTTTTCAGGATTTGCTCTAGCACTGTTACGGCTGACGTTGCCATCGGCTAAGGTGTAAAGATCGGACTGCGGAAGAAAATACGAGGATGTGTTAAGGAATCTTGTGATTACTATCCAGATTCCATGGTGCAGTGTTAGAGGAAGAGGAAAATAACCTGGACTAGAAGCAAATCCGATGTCGCCTTCACCGGAAGGAATCTTGATCGAGGTACGTTGATACCAATAGCGTGATCAAAGAACTTGTTTACGCAGGGAAATAACACAATTAGACCATTTTTTTTCAACATTACAATGCATCATAACTGTGAACAGTACAATTTATACCCTGATTGCTGCACCGGCTGCAGTTTCCAGTTGAAGAACTTTGACTCCATCGACCTCCTGCAGCCAATTTTGTTATTCAGAAATGGGAATTCTACCAGAGGCAACATGGTAAAGGTAAAGAAAGATGCAAACCTTTGGGTTTGGAATGATCTCCATCTTGAGTGCATCAGCTTCCACAAGCCTCTTTATTGCTTTCAGGTTCACCCACCTGTAGATAAATAAATCATTTGTGCCAAACCAATAAGCAGTTGACATTATTTTGACGAAGGGCAACTTACAAATTGTTTGTATTAAAAATTTTGAATTTCTCTATGGACTTGAATTCATTGACCTGTTACAAAGAGAATGTATCAGCAATAAACCTGAAAAATATTTATCTTTTGAGTATGTTTTAGTGTATGACAATGGTGCAGAACTAGTAGAAAAAGAAAGATGGAAAACGAATAACTCACATGTGCATCAGGAACTTGTGCAATTTCAAGGAGCTGAATCACACAAATGAATAAAACCATATCAGTTAATGTCTAATTTCAGTCTTTTCTCTTCCTCTCAACCGGGGAAGAGGAAAAAATAGTTATAGTTGGAAACATTCGTTTTCTTTCTCGGTTGGTGATTCACCATTAAGCACTAAAATAGGCTATTATCATGATCACCATTAAGCAGTAAATTCTTCTGGTATAACTGCAATTACTGTTTATGCATTTGTTGCTACAAACAGTAAATAGGTTACTACAATAGGAAAATCTACTAACAAAGTTCTAGTATGAGGTTGTTTATGCATTTGTTTACCAAGCCATTATCATAAAAAATGTGAAACAGTTATTATTCTCCACATTCCTATATTTGGTGCTTAAAAGCAAGATAGGAAGTTTATCTTTAAAACCTCAGATAACTTCTGTTAACAAATGGAGAGAGGAATGAAAGAAAATTTTCTAAAAGCAAATAAGAGCTCATTTCATACCTGAACTTTTCCTTCGTAAGAAATAAGAGTACCACCCTTCACATCAGCTAAGGTTTTGGGTGTCACCTACAAAAACAAAAGTAATATAGCAATAATCACAAAGCTAGGAAAACCAAAATAGCACAGCTTATAGTTCTCTTCCTGTACCTCCATGCAATATTCATTCTTGTTCTGGATCAAATGGTTCAATATTTCTAGAGCACCTGTCAAGGACTGACATTGTCGGGGAAAAAAACGACGATATTCAACTCAATAGTAGCACCCAAGTTGTATTATAAGTAAAAAAGCTAAATTCACTGGAAATCAAGATGAGGATACTCAAGTCAACAAGAGCACCCAAGTTGTCTGAGTTGGCAACAAACACGTACTCCTTGCCCTGTAAGGAACAATGAAAAATAAATAACTTAGCAGAAAGAACTTATTCATCAATTGTTTTGGAAAAAGATCACATTGCATTGCAGTCACAACCTCTGATAAAAAAGTATCAAGCTTGCCACTGTTCTTTAGAGATTGGAACAGGTCACCATGACCGGGAGGATACCTTCATCCAGAAAAATGCTCGAGTAAAGAGATTACCATCAAACAAGCAATTCAAAAAGGAAAAAGAAAAGTCAATTGCTCCAATAATTCACAAAGCTAATCAATGCAATAAGTGAAGATAACTAAAAGAACTGGAATAAGTAAATTTATTCATTATGAACCATCCAAGTGGGTGCAAAGATGGAACATTATAGAAAATATAGATGCAACTTTGAGAAGAAATCCAATAACTTAATCCACCATTACAGCATACAGAATCCAGTGAAAACCTTATCCTTCATTTTCAAAAACTCCGACCCTCTTCAACTGTCTTGTGGATGTGTTAAATTAAGAAACATACATCATTTTAAAAAATATATACATAAATTCATAGGTCATATTTGAAAACAACAAACACAATTAACGCTTTTCTTAGGAATGAGGTCTGGCTCATGAATACTGTAAGAAAATTCCGAAACTCTAAATATTAATGTCACTTGAATTCCCATACTTTCTTGAATTAAAACTAACCACTTTCCCTTTATGATACATCCTTCCCTTTATAAGAACACTTCAAAGCTTCAAAATATAACAGTGGTTTTACAAAACGGGGCAAATAGATTGTAAATTCAGATGAAGCTAAGTAGCTCAAAATAGTATTCACAACTGATAATGAAGGCATATAAAATGACAGCAGTAGATCAAAGAAAAATAGTATTGACATGCATCCTTACCATAATGGACTGACTAGATTAAGCAAAAAAGAAGCAAATAGAACAAAAAGTTTACCATCCATCCTTGCCAGGCTGGCCTTTGCAAGGAAATGGAGTAAAATCTTCCGCAACCAGACGAGGATATTGGCTCTTTGCAAATCCAAGAAATCAGGGGAGAAATCAGAGATAATAGAATATAAGAAATGGTTATCTGTTTTATGTTGTTGAGTCTAAATTGAATCTTGAGAAGGTGAAATTCAATATATCAACCTGATTAAAGATATGAATTTTAAGGTTTACATTGGCGTAATTTTCGACAATCTGCATTGAACAAGAATTATATGAAATTTAGATCGAATGCTGCTGGAAATAAATATAAATCGGCTGAGGTAAAGGAAATAAGTTATATAGATCCAGAAAGAAACCTTCATTGTGTCCTCATGAGTATTGAATGAGTTCATCAGCACCAATGGAACGCTACATCCGTATTTCGTATTAAGATTCTGATCAAACCAAGGAAAAAGACATACTAAATGAGTTGCATCTTATAACGTAAGACAGAAACGAGAATCAACGACTTATAAGGGAAGGAAAATTTATAACCAGAATCTGAGAAACAATTAGATCAAGAAACGTGCATCCACTGCGCACTTGAATGACAGATCTGTTCTCAGAAAAAATCAAACAAAGGAACCATTAGATAATTGTGTTACTAAGCATCACAAAACATAAAAATAATTACTTGTGAATGATTAGGAATAATAAGAGCATACTTAGGACCAGTGCATCCCATAGTTGTCCCCAAGCCACCATTAAGCTTTAGAACAACAAGTTTGTCCAATAGCTTCTTAGTTT